CTATCTATCTATCTATCTATCTATCTATCTATCTATCTATCTATCTATCTATCTAATTATCTATCTATCTATGATTCAAAACAGAAGTGCTGCGCTAAGGACTCTGTCCAAAGCAGACATGTTCACTGCGTTTGACCGCTTGCTACATCGGATGAAGAAGTGCTCTGGATCAATGCTTGTTAAGTCGAATATAAAACACATTTCTGAAGGCATGTACAAAATGTCTTTCCTGTAAAAGTTAAATGATTTATTTTATAGACCAAGGAAAGATTCTTCTGGGACCGACCTCGTAAGTTATCTTATAAAGTATCCCAGCCTGTTTGTCGTGATGTTGTTTCTCTCTCAGCTCGGGATGACCCTTACAGTAATGTACAGCAAGATCATAGCAGCTTCCATCTTAAATGATTATTACATTTAATTGTGTTGAAAAGGGGGCGAAACATTTACGAGCATTCCTGGCATATCAAGTGCAAAGTGTTTCTGAGTAAATTGCACCTTCGTTTGTGGTACAAAATGAAGAAAGCGAGGAGAAAGGAGCAGTAGTCACATACCAAAATATTGTGGGTATTTTATTTTCTTTCAAAAGGTCATGTTGACTACTGCCGTTCTTGTGGACAAATGTCTTTTTCTGAAAAACTGCTGTGTATTCCCTGCGTGGTTGTTTACAACGTGTTGTGTTGCTGTTTAAGAAGCTAAACCTTAATTCTTGAAACACAGACGAATATTGTAAATTGTGATTACTGTCCTGTGTCCTCTGTAGTCTTCAAATGTTTCATGTCAAGAAATATCACAACGAGCGTTAATGTTTATTTTTAGCAAGGCGACAAGCGAGTGAAAAGCAGCATTTTCAACAATCAGAAACATAATAATACTATTATGTGCTGAGTACGCTTATTCCTTTTTTACCATATTTTTTAAAGACCCTTATTCTTTTCAGCAAAGGAAAGCATTTGTCTCCCCCCTGTAACCTTGAGAAGCGTGATAGATCTATATTATTTCACTACGAACCAGTATTTCACACTTACTTTATACCACGAATTCTGTAACACTCCCAGGCGATGTTTGACTAACCCTCTCTGACGGGAGACATTAATTGACAATAGTGATGTCAGATCGTGTGTCCAAATCCCTCGCCCCGCCCAAAATACGAGGAAAAGCGGCACAGGAGAACCAGTCGATACAGACGCCCTGTGTTTAACCCTTTAAAATCCATTGGCAGATGTTCAAATTATTCTGAATGATGCAGAGACAGGCGTGAAATAGACAGAAGGGGGAGAGGGGGAGAGGGGGGAGAGAGAGGGGGATGGACAGAGAGAGAGCTGGGGGAAGAGAGAGAGAGAGAGAGAGAGAGAGAGAGAGAGGGGGGGGGGCAGGGAAGAGGAAAATAGAGATAGCGAAAAAGCGAGAACGAGAGACAGAGAGAGGGCGAAACACAGGAGGAGCGAGAGAAAAAAAGAGTGAAAGAAGAAAGAGGGGAGGAGAGAGAGAGAGAGAGAGAGAGAGAGAGAGAGAGAGAGAGAGAGAGAGAGAGAGAGAGAGAGAGAGAGAGAGAAGGGGAGAAAACGGTCTGAAAGCGAAACCTGCATTCTTTATCTTCTTTTGGAAAGATAAGGAGTGAGTGCGGTGTTGAGTGGAAATTGTTTTTCATACGGTCGGATTTTTTAATGTTATTTTAATGACTCATAGAGCAACAGGCATGTTATTTTCCTCTAAAACAAGTATGGCAACGAAAAGAATAACGGGCCAGTACGTCGTTCATTATATAAAAGGTCTGGTTGATTATTGGATCATGACGTACCAGTTACTAGTAAATATCGATCTACTTGGAAGGTTAAACCGAATCCTTAATGATTTAAAACAAACTGGAATCAAGTATCTTGAAGACACATTATAATGACACATTCACCGGCACATCACCAACATTCTAGATTGACGACCAATGTGACTAACCATATGTTTGAGGAAATCGTAAAAAATGTGTTCTAAATTGTACTGAGACTAGTTTCATTCTTACAGCATCGCCATTAATGTAGGCACATTTCCATAGTTGTCCATGGGTCAGTTTGAATTTAGACAAAGTCTGACAAGCCTTTCTTGTAGCGCTTTAACGACATATGTGTGGCTTTTGATGAGTCCATCAGTGCTAAGAAACAGATAACAAATAATTAATGTTAAATGTTTATGCTGTCAACTGACCAGAAATGTTACGTTCATTTACATATAGCGACTGCGTGCAAAGAGTGAGTGTTGTAAAATGAGGGGGAGGGGAGTTGTTAGTGCAAATATGTGTGTGCATGAATCTCTCTCTCTCTCTCTCTCTCTCTCTCTCTCTCTCTCTCTCTCTCTCTCTCTCTTTCTCTCTCTCTCTCTCTCTCTCTCTCTCTCTCTCTCTCTCTCTCCTACCTTTCTCTCTATCTCCCTCTTTTTCTTCCTAGAAACAGCAAAAGTCAAGGTCTGGAATAACGTTAACATCGCATTTTTGTTTCTAGGACAACAGACATACTGAACAGATGTTAACAATGACTAAAAGGGTTAACCGGAATTTTAGCTCTTAAGATTTACGAGCACTTTCGAGCCATTGTTGAAAACCTCAGAACTTTATTTCTCTCTCTGTCTTATTGTTGTTGTTGTTTGGGTTTTTTGTCTCGTTTTCGGTCTTCATGTCTTGCCATTCTTTTTTATGTCTGTTAGTTTGACTGTTTGTCTTTCTATCTGCACACTATCCTCTCTGGGTTCGGATGCTGGTCAGTGTCTGGAAGTTCAAGTCTCTCTCTCTCTATCTATCTATCTATCTATCTATCTATCTATCTATCTATCTATCTATCTATCTATCTATCTACCTATCTATCTGTAGTCTATCTCTATCTCTCTCTATCCTTTTCTATCTATCTATCTATCTATCTATCTATCTATCTATCTATCTATCTATCTATCTATCTATCTATCTGTAGTCTATCTCTGTCTCTCTCGACCTTTTCTATCTATCATCTTTATATCGATCTACCCATACGCAGTGAGAATTTTACATGTGTGTCTATTATGTCTAGTTTGTAAAGAGTTATGGTGTCAAGCATTATGACATCTTAACCGCTTCTATGGCGTCGGTGGCCTAGTGGTTAAGCTCCCTGACTCGCAACCGTAAGGTCGTGGGTTCGAATCCCGTCTGGGGCCCGACGTTGTTTCCTTGGGAAAGGCACTTTGAATACATTTTCCTCACTTCACCCAGGTGGAAATGGGTACCGGTTTTAGACAGTGAACGATCTTGTCAGTTTGATTGTGTTTGAGCGCGTGAAATCCACACCTTACCCTGTATGCTTCCACGGAAGCCGATACTGTTTCTGAGTGTTTTCAGACGGTCTGCTGGGGTAACAACAGTTGTAAAGCGCATAGAGCATGCTCTAGAACATGGATATGCGCTATATAAAAGCAACTATTATTAATCATTATTATTATCTATTGTCAGTCTTAGGCTGTTGTCTTTCAACTTCTTCGTCTACTTTTCTCTTTTCGAGTGTCAATCGCTCCC